CCTTCTGCATACTATGAACTATGCACACCAAATCTGATTTTTAAGAAGGCATTAATCAGCCAGGTGCAGGTGTTTCACACCTGTAATCCTAGCCACTGAGGATCTCAGTTCACTCCAGCTCACATAGGGAAGTCTGTAATAGTCTTACCTTCAATTAACCACCAAAAAGCAGAAAGTAGAACTATGGCTCAAGTGATTAGAGTGCTAGCTTGAGCAAAAACCTCAGAAACAATGCCCAAGTCCTAAGCCCCAGGACCATCACACATACACAAAAAAAGGCAATTGTCATTTATCATGAAGATCAGACTCATACAGCTTGAAAATCCAATGTTAAAACATGTAATATTGAACTTAACAGTTAATGTTTAAAGTTAAACTTCCCTGTGACAAGCCAAAGTCACTGACGACACACATAAAAATGTATAAAACTTATAATGCATTAAGAAACCATAAAGATCATCTCAACCCTTTTCCTTCCTTTTCTATAGGAATCAGGCCTTAGAAGAGTATGGTGGGTCACAGCCAGGACCAGGTTACAAGCGTGTGAACTCAGGATCAGGCTGTGAACATAGCTTCAAGGACTAGTCTATAAGCACAGAGACCCTGGACCAGATTACAATCACAGAGACCCTGAACCAGACAACAAGAATAATGACCCTGAACCAGACTACAAGCACAAAAATAAATCCTGGACCAGGTTACAAGCACAGAGACCTTGGACCAGACTACAAGAACAGGACTCAAGACCACTCTGTGTCAGTCAAGCACTGATGGCTCAGGACTGTAATCCTAGATACTCAGGAGACTAAGATATGAGGATCACAGTTCAAAACCAGCCTAGGAAGGAAAGCCTGTGAGACTCAACAAAAGCCTGGAAGTAGAGCTGTGATTCAAGTCATCCAGTACCATCTTTGACCAAAAAAACTAAGGGAGAGCACTCAGGCCCTGAGTTCAAGTTCCAGTACCCCTCCCCACACAAAAGACTAGGTTATAAGCATGGGACTAAGGATTAGTCTGAGAACTCAGGACCCCAAAATCAGACTGTGAGCATGGGGACCCAGGACCAGACTGCAAACACGGATCCAAGTATAACAATGCCTTTCTGCCTCACACCTGAGCTTCGAGTAAACAAATCCGAAAATTAAAAAGAAAAAAAATACAAATAAAATTGGCTCCCCTAGGCAGGATCCTTCAGGCGCTGACCCGCAGTCCCAGGGTTTACCCCACCAGCCCCAGCTGGAAGGTTTGGCTGCCAGCTGTGAGGAGGCTCCCAGAAGCACTCCTCGGCCTTGCTGATGAGCTAGGGTGACCTGTCCAACCTCCCACCCACCACAGCAGGGGGGTAATGACAGGGTCTCTGGACCAGGCTAGAAAGCATGAGGTTCCTTTAAATCCCAGTTTAAGTCAGTAATCCTGAAATTCAGCACAGCTCTGCTACAATCTGACGCACAGTGTGATGTAAGCCAAGACACCTGACTTCCAGCTTGGATTCCGCCACCAGAATCCTGGCTGTATTACCTTGGGTAAAACATAAAAGTTTTCTTGTAAATTAGTATTTTTCCCCAAAATGACACAAGTCCTTTAGGCATGAATTTAAATAAAAACAAAATTATAATTATATATGCCATCCTCTCCCAATTCTTAGTAGCCTGTAGTGTGAGATCTTTCACCTATCCATAGTAATATACTATTTACTGGATCCTTGAGTCCCAATATATAAAGCCCAAAGTGTGCTGGGCAGTCTGGGGGATAAATGAAAAGTCTTTCCAATTTAGGACCTCCTGGGCCTGCAGCCGTGCCTCTGGAACATGAGACAAAAGCTCAAAGGCACCACGTGGCCAAGGTCTGGGGAGAGGGCTCAAATGCAGCCAGGCCTCCCTCCTGACAGCAGCAGAGAGGCCAGTGTTAACATGTCCACTCTGTACGACTATCAGGTTTAACAACGTTTCAAGGAGAACCCTAGTTTGTTGTGGAGGAATAACCACACCCAATTTAAGGGCTGTGGAGACCTTCCTCAGCCCCTCTTGAAGGGTGAGAGCATGCTATGGAATCTCAGGTAGGCACCAGTCCCTCTTCTAGTCTCCTTCTTCCGTGCTCCTGCCATATAAATAAGATCTTGAGACGTTGTGTGTTCATCATTTGTGGGAGCTGTCTTTAAAATCAGAGAATGGTGGAGGCTCTCGCCTGTAACCCTTCCTACTCAGGCAGCTGTCGGATCCTGTGGGTAACAAGAAACCATGCGTGTCTTTAAGGCTTATCAATGTGTCCTGCCCAGCTCCAACCAGCAGGTCAACTCCTCAAGTGCCGGCTCCTTAGGAGCAGCCCCAGCCGCCAGGCACTGCTCTTGTGCCAGGAAAACAAGCTCTCTCCTCCCTTAAACTCCTGTGACTCAGAAACATCGCTGTGTTCATTTCTCTTTTTATATTAAACTGTTAGTTAAGCCTTTAATGAAGCATGAGTTGTATAAATTTAAAGGATATGATAAAGCATTTTGCCGTCCTTTAAACACTAAAGCTACTAGGAAACTAACTTGAGTGATACCAGAAGTTTTATTTTGTTTTTTGCCAGCCTGGGGCTTGAACTCAGGGCCAGGGTGCTGTCCCTGAGCTTTTCTGCTCAAAGCTAATGCTCTACCACTAGAGCCACAGATCTACTTTCAGGATTCCCCCCACCCAACCCCTCTGGTGATTAATCAGGCTAGCTCTGAACCACAATCCTCAGATTTTAACCTCCTAAGTAGCTAGGATTACAGGTATAAGCCATCTGTGCCCAGCAACTTCCCAGTTTTTAGGAGGTAGAATGGAAAATTGTAAAGTGTTTTTTATTTATTTTTGTTGTTGTTGTTGTTGTTAGTCGTGGGGCCTGAACACTGGGCCTGGGCACTGTCCCTCAGCTCTTCTGAGCCACCTTCCCAGCCCGTAAAATGTTTTTGGTTTTTTTTGGTCCGGTTGTGGGGCCTGGGCACTGTCCCTCAGCTCTTCAGCTCAAGGAGAGTGCTCTACCACTTGAGCCACAGCGCCACTTCTGGCCTTTTTTTTTTTTTTCTGCTTATGTGGTGGCTAAGGAATCGAACCCAGGGCCTCATGTATGCAAGGCAAGCACTCTACCACTGAGCCACCTTTCCAGCCCAACCGTAAAGTGTTTTTTAAATAATACATAAGACCCTGCTTTGGTTCACACAGGACTAAAGGAAAATTATCATTGCCAAACAGCTGATAAAACCAGGCACTGAGTTACTCAGAATTATTTTACTGTAGATCACCGTAGTTAGTTTTTAATTCATGAGTTCCTATTAGCTTTTACTTTGACATATATATAGGCTAATCAAAAAAAAAAACAACTACTCTATTACTCCCTTTTTCCATTCTCTAAAGCTTTCACTTTGTATAGGAAAAGATCTATTCAGAAAGGGTGACATTAATCAAGATGCATTTTATTATAAATTAACATGTTGAATTGAAATTCCTTTGTATAACTATGTAAAAGATAAAATATTTTTAATAGTATTGAAAAATAAACTGACATGGTAAGTAGTAATCTTTTCCACTACTTAAAAATAATAAAAAGTAATAAAGGGCTGAGAATGTGGCTTAGTGGTAGAGTGTTTGCCTAGCATGCACGAAGCCCTGAGTTCAATTCCTCAGTACGACATAAACAGAAAAAGCCAGAAGTGGTGCTGTAGCCCAAGTGATAGAGTACTAGCCTTGAGCAAAAGCAGCTCAGGGACAGTGCCCATGCCCTGAGGTCAAGCCCCAGGACTAGAAAAGAAAACAATAAGAATTTTAAAAACTACCAGATATGTCAAACATCAAGAGTTGCCCTAAAGACTGTCAATGTGAAGTCACTCAGGAACACAAGGGAGAGTGCGGGCTCCCCTCAGCCCTATCCAGCATGAGCACACCTTGACAGGTAACGCCATGCCCTGTTCCCGTGTCTAACAGTGCCTGGTACCTGCCTTCCACCATTTTTACATGACTTTACGTACATCTTACTGGTGTGAGGGCAAGGCCACAATTCATGTCTCTGTGAGGCATATCTGGTAGATGATTTTACCCCCATTATAGCAATGAGGAAAACAAAGCCCAGCAAGATCCACCCACCTGCTCAGGTCCCTCAGCAACAACTGAATCCAAAGCTCACAAGTGTCTACTACAGTGCTCATATCAACAACTGTGTAAGATCCTGTATGCCCACTTCGATCAACAGCCGTGACAACTCGGAGCCCTACACTTCACTGAGTGCCACCTGGCTCAGCTAGCTAGAGTGCTAGGAGCAACTAAAAACACCCCCATTTCGTGTAGGAAATCCTACACGACCTCAAAACCCCTAAACAAACACTAAAATGGAGTAAGTTTAAATTAGCGTGTTTAAAATTAATAAATTAATTAATAAAAGCTTATTTTGTTTGTGTGACGTTAAACTTTCTCTCATATGTTGCTTTAAAAAATTCAAGATACGGGCTGGGAAGGTGGCTCAGTGGTAGAGCGTTTGCCTTGCATGCATGAGGCCCTGGGTTTGATTCCTCAGCACCACATAAGCAAAAAGAAAAAAGCCGGAAGTGGCACTGTGGCTCAAGTGGTAGAGCGCTATCCTTGAGCTGAAGAGCTGAGGGACAGCACCCAGGCCCAGAGTTCAGGCCCCACGACCGGACCCAAAAAAAAAAAAAAAAAAAAAAAATTCAAGATGCCAGGCACCAGTGGCTCACACCTGTAATCCTAGCTACTCAGGAGGTTGAGATCTGAGGATCACAGTTCAAAGCCAGCCTGGGCAGAAAGTCTGTGAGACTCTGATCTCCAACTAACCACCAGAAAACTGGAAGTGGCACTGTGGCTCAAGTGGTAGAGCTCTTGCCTTGAGCTGAAGAGCTGAGGGACAGCGCCCAGGCCCAGAGTTCAAGCCCTATGACCGACCAAAAAAAAATTCAAGATCCAAACAAGTTGGTTATGAAACTAAGTATAAGCTTAGCAATTAGCATGTATCCATTTTTCAGAAATAGTTACCTGATTGTCGTATTTAAGAGACTGTGTCCCAACCAAAAATCGAATGGCATCTGTTTCTGCAGTCTGAGGTGTTAGAGCGCGGGCCTGCAGGAGAGAAGAAAAGATGTCATGGAAACCAAAAAGGCAGTTTATCTCCTCTAATGCAGATGAAAGATAAAATAGTAGTACCTGGAAAAAATTACACACTTCTAACACAATTCCATTTCAAACCTGTACATGGGGTAAGTGCATGGGTACAAAAAATAAGAAGATACAAAGTATTTACGTAAAATAGTTAGAACTGTTTAATAAAACCATATATCAGCAATAATATATTTGTTAAATTATTCTACAACAAAACAATACAGCAGAAAATGACTTCCAGCAATAGTTACGCAGGCAGTTTAAACCAACTCCTTGCAGAAAAGTGGAAAGTTAAACACAACTTAGACACTAAATAAAACACTTTATTAATCTCATGGCCTCAGAACCTGGAAAGAAAGCAAGCCTGTGAAGTCCAGCATCTTACTCCTTCCCACCTAGAGGAATTTGTCAGCTTGGAAAATGTGGCTGGAAGACTGAAGCTGAGAAGAGCTATGGCAGACTTTGAGGCTTAACATTAAATTAAAAAGAAAAACAAACACAACATAGAGACCCACGCAGGAGAAAGTAAAGCTAGTAGCAAGTAAAGTTTAGGGGCTGAGAATAAAGAAAACTAGAGCTAGAGTGGCTGCACATCTTCTGTCTTTGATCTAACAGAGGTGACTGAGCAGAAGGACAGAGCACCTAGGCCAGGAGCTCTTGCCAAAAACAAGTCCTCTACAGGATAACATCCAAAAAAATTGATCACATACAATGCCTAACTTTAAATTTTTTTTAAAAGGCCAGTTACACAATAAGACAAAATCACATGGACAGAATTCAAAAGGAGTTAGATGCTGGTGGCTCACAGCTGTAATCCTACTCAGGAGGTTGAGATCTGAGGATCACAATTCAAACCAGCCCCAGTTGGCTTTAACCACCAAGAAGCCATAAGTGGAGATGTGGCTCAAGTGGCAGAACACCAGCCATGAGTGAAAAAGCCAAGTAACAGTGTCCAGGCCTCAGTTCAAACCCCAGTACTGGGAAAAAAAAATAATAATAATATTGAATAATTTTTTTAAAAAACTGAAGGAGTGGTCCCAAGGGTTAGGGACAGACAGTCCTCACACACTAGCTCTACCCCTTGATAGCTGTGTGACCACAGTCCCGTCACATGACACCTCTATACTTCTATGCTTTCATCTGTGAAACAAGCACCCATACAAAATGGGCTTTCTCCTCCGATCTGACTTTTTTGTAAGTAGGGGCAGGTCCTGGGGCTTGAACTCAAGGCCTGAGCACTGTCCCTGCACATCTTTTGCTTAAGGCTAGAACTCTACTACTTGAGCCACAGCTCCACTTAGGGCTTTTTTGGTGATTAATTGTGGATAAGAGTCTCATGGACTTTCCTGCGTGAGCTGGCTTTGAACTGCTATCCACAGATCTCAACTGCCTGAGTAGCAAGGATTAGAGGCACAAGCCACCACCAATGCTTGGTTCCCTCCTATCTGGTTTTAAAGATAACTCCCACGAATGCTGATGAACACACAATGTCTGAAGCTCTCATTTATATGGCAAGAGCACAAAGAAAGGTCTGTGGTGCTAATGTGGGTTAGCCCAGCTCGGCATCCATTGCAATCCCCAGTATAACTACTAAGCAAATGCCAAAGTGGGCAACAGGAGAACTGAGGACAGAAAAGAAGGTCTTCAGTCTCACTGCAGGAGGTCTGCGAGTTGAAAAGGGTAGAGCTGTCCCCTGGATTCTTGTGGTACCATGGTCTGTGCCAGAGAGGTCCCTGGGAGGTGAAAGCCCTGCCTTGCCTGTCCCACAGTTCCTTCCCCTGAATCTGCAGCACTGACAACATACAGCACCACCAGTAACATATGGGGGGAAAAACACAAAGGAAAATAAGACCAGTTGAAAGCTACAGAAAAAATAAGTTTATACCAAAAAATGCAAGTCTAGACACCACCTACTTCAATCATGTCAACAATATTTATATAACTAGAAAAACCAAAACACCCAAATGTAAAACCGAATTCGGAAATCCTTACCCAAAAGACCACCAGAGACCGTCACCAATGTAAAAACAAAGGAGTCTTTATTGCAAGCTCAAGCCACGCACCAGGTAACTGGTGACGCTAAGAGGCCCTGAGCCCAGGGTTACAGTACTTTTTAGGGAAGGCAGGGACTTTGTATACATCATAGCATCTTATAAAAAATTATTACACATGACGGGAAAATCATAAAACAATTCTATAGTATGATTGGCACACTACAAAGCAGGAAAGGACCAGAAACAGGTTGTTGGTTAGATCAGAGGTCTGATATACTTTAAACTGGTTGGCTTGCACCACAGGGAGTCTCAAGGAGATACATGCTACACTGCAGGATTCCTTTCTTAAACAAACACTGCCTAGGGCCTGACTGCTGGGTCACCAGGCCCTCCAGCACCCAAGGATTGTTTATATTCCTAGTTGCCTGGAAATTGCTTCTTCTGTTCATTCCCAGGTCGGGCTCCTGGTCAGCTGTATAACTTATACGTTACAAGATGGTTACTAGCTTAAAGATGGAGTCAGGCATCAGGTTCTTCCCAAACAGTAAACTGTTTTAAATTGTTTCAGGAGTTTTACTGGAGGCTACGTAAGGAAGCACATCTCCAGATTACATTGTAAGTGATCCAATTAACAGATTTTATCCAAGAGCTAAAAAGGCACGTGGGACAGAAATTAAAGTGCACAGTTCTTTAAAAGGGCCTCAGTAGGTAACAGGGTCAAACTTGTTATCTCGCAGTAAACAAAGTTAATCCCATGTGACACCATTTTTCCCCAGGTACACAAGTTTAAGTTTTTTGGGATCATTAAAGAGATTTAGTTATACCAGGTGCTGGTGGCTCACACCTGTAATCCTAACTACTCAGGAGGCTGAGATCTGAGGATCATGGTTCAAAGCCAGCCCCGGCAGGAAAGTCTATGAGACTCTTACTTCCTGGTGCTGTGGCTCAAATGGTAGAGTGCTAGCTAGGGAGAGCACCCAGACCCAGAGTTCAAGCCCAATGACAAACGAGGGGAGAGAGGCGAGAGGCAAGAGAGGAGAGAGGAGGGAAGGAGGGAGGAGGGAGGGCAGAGGGGAGAGGAGAAATTTAAAGTTAGCATGATCCTAGTTTTTTTTTAGGATTTTGATAGTATTTATGTGTAAACATATTGGCTTAATCTTGACGAATACTGTTAAAATTTGTTTTCCCGGAGGAAAAAGTTGAAAGTGATGTTGAAGAGGAAAACACTGAAGAGACCACGCAGACACAGAGTACAGCCAAAAGAAATCTTTATTACCAGCCAGAACTACACCAGGCAATTGGGTGCCCAAAAAGTGCAGTGCCAAGCTTGGTCTCATGGCCTCTTTAAAGCGGAAAGCCCACCCCCCTTATTCTCTCAGGGGTGGAAAGTCCCTACAGGTGCAAGCCAAGCATGAAGTTACAGAAGCTAAAACAATGCTGTAAGCAATCATGAGCAGGGTAACATGTTTGTAACCATGAAGCTTCTATGATCATTTGGGGGGGGGGGGGGGTCTGGTCATGGTGCCTGAACGCTGTCCCTCAGCTCTTCAGCTCAAGGCTAGCACTCTACCACTTGAGCCACAGCGCCACTTCCGGCTTTTTTTCTTTTTGCTTATGTGGTGCTAAGGAATCAAAACCAGGGCCTCATGCGTGCAAGGCAAGCGCTCTACCACTGAGCCACCTTCCCAGCCCTCTATGATCACTTTTATAACCCATTACTATGATTGTTACCTAGAAACAGAACAATGGCTTACATATATCTTTAAATGTTAAACTATAAGGAACAAGTCTCTAGGGGATGAAGTCCTTTAAGATGGAGTCACAGAACCAAAATGGAGTTATAGAAGATAAAACTCTTAAGACGGTGCAGTTTGAAAAGCCCTCCTACAGTGGTGTCTCAAATAGTCAGCTAAATTGGAAGGACGTGTTCAGGGGCCTGCTAATTTTAATCATGATTTCTAAAAAACTTCCATTTGTTTATGAGACAGAATGTTGCTGGTCTTGAATTCAAAATTCACTCAACACTGGCTTCAGAGTTCTGGATTACAGAACATCACCTCACACATCTTAAAGAAGAGGGAGTACGAAAGTCTACAGAACCAGATGACAACCAAGCCTCACTGACACACCGCCTCCATCTCACCTGCCACAGCCCTCTCTACCACAGCTTAACTTCTAAAAGGCCACTGAAGGGATTCGTCCGTTTGTAACTGTGTTGTGTTCCCCCTATGTGATATCATGGTGAGCACACATTGGAAAAGTCAGGATGGAAGAGTAATCGTAGATGACGGAAAAACAAGTAAGATAAAGTTGAGGCTCGGGCAAAACTGTACTCTGCACATGTTCACTTTTAAGCTTTGAAAATGTGTCAAAGTGACCTAGAATGTTGGCATTAGTGGAATATAAGAGAAGAGACCAAAATGTTCTGTGCATCTCTGTCATTCTTCCGTGTGAGCATTTAAAACTTTTTCGGGGGGGGGAGGGGCCACTGGGAGGTGGCAGTCCTGGGCTTTGAACTCAGGACCTGAGCGAGGTACCTGTGCTTTCTTGCTCAAGCCTAGCCCTCTACCACTTGACCAACACGTCAACTTTCTGCTTTAGTATCTTTTTTTTTTTCCTGTAGATAAGAGTCTCACGGACATTCCTGCCTGGGCTGGCTTCGAACTGCGGTCCTCAGATCTCAGCCTCCTGAGTAGCTAGGATGACTGGCGAGAGCCACCCGCACCCAGCTAAAACCTTAATGAAAAGAAAAGATGGGATGCAGCTCCAGCTTCTTGAGCATTATGGGAAAACACTTCAGCAAGCTCGTGCCCAGAAGGAGCGGCACCTGCGGTCGGCAGCGCCGGGCACGGGCTGGGCGGGGAGGGGCGGCGGGCCCGGGCTGGCGGGAGGGGCGGCGGGCCCGGGCTGGCGGGAGGGGCGGCGGGCACGGACTGGGGAGGGGCGGCGGGCACGGGCTGGGCGAGGAGGGGCGGCGGGCACGGGCTGGGCGCGGAGGGGCGGCGGGCACGGGCTGGCGGGAGGGGCGGCGGGCACGGGGCGGCGAGGAGGGGCGGCGGGCACGAGCTGGGCGCGGAGGGGCGGCGGGCACGGGCTGGCGGGAGGGGCGGCGGGCACGGGCTGGCGGGAGGGGCGGCGGGCACGGGCTGGCGGGGAGGGGCGGCGGGCACGGGCTGGGGAGGGGCGGCGGGGAGGGGCTGGCGGGAGGGGCGGCGGGCACGGGCTGGCGGGAGGGGCGGCGGGCACGGGCTGGCGGGAGGGGCGGCGGGCACGGGCTGGCGGGGAGGGGCGGCGGGCACGGGCTGGGCGCGGAGGGCACGGGCTGGCGGGAGGGGAGGCGGGCACGGGCTGGGGAGGGGCGGCGGGGAGGGGCTGGCGGGAGGGGCGGCGGGCACGGGCTGGCGGGAGGGGCGGCGGGCACGGGCTGGCGGGAGGGGCGGCGGGCACGGGCTGGCGGGAGGGGAGGCGGGCACGGGCTGGCGGGAGGGGCGGCGGGCACGGGCTGGCGGGAGGGGCGGCGGGCACGGGCTGGCGGGAGGGGCGGCGGGCACGGGCTGGCGGGAGGGGAGGCGGGCACGGGCTGGGGAGGGGCGGCGGGGAGGGGCTGGCGGGGAGGGGCGGCGGGCACGGGCTGGCGGGAGGGGCGGCGGGCACGGGCTGGCGGGAGGGGCGGCGGCGCCCGCTCCACGCCCCGGGCGCCGGCCTCGCTCTGCCCACCCGCACGCGTCTAGCCCTGGCGTCTCAGACGACTCCTCCGAGCCCAGAACCGGCAGGCCACGAGCGCTCGCGGGGTGCGAGTCGCCCCTGTGCCCCCGGACCACCGAGGGCCGCGCGGGCCCAGGGCCGGGCCGGGGCGGGGCGCGCGGCCGCCCGGCGAGGGGCCCACCTGGAACTCCAGCCCGTAGATCACCGGGGCGTCGTCCTCCATGCTGCGGGAAGCGGCCTGTCCTCCTCTCGAGCGCTCAAGCCCTGACTAAAACCACCGCGTCCCGCCTGGCCAGGGCGTCCCCGGCTCCACTCATTCCGGGCCGGGACGACCGGCTCCTCCGCGGCGCTCTCGGGCCACGCCAGCGCCCGCGGGGCCCACTTCCTGTTTTCCTCATGTCGTCATCAACATGCTCCCTGCGATGACCAATGACAAGGGAGCTCTACTTTCACGCATGCCCATAGAGCTTCCATCCGGGCTCTCGGCTGCAGGGTCCTACTGAAGTCGAAGGCAGGACCTGGAGTAAATGGGCGGGAAGGGGCGGGGCGGCCGCAGGGGCGGGAAGGGGCGGTCCTAGGGCGCGGGCGCTGGAGAGTGATTGGCGTAGCGACGCAGTCGTTCAGACTGTCGGCTTCACCGCCGGACTAGCTCAATCCAGGCCTCCTCATCGTCAAGGCCTTCGCTCCAGCCTCAAGCGGGCCAGAGTCACCCCACCCAGGCACGGCCGCCCCGGTGGTCATGGACCGGGGACCCCGAGCACCTCCTCCGCCAAGCCGCCTCGGGTGCGCGAAGCTAGGCGCTGTCTCGTGCACGGCAGCGAGACACCCGCCCCGCGTGGCACCATGGCTGTACGTGGTGACACGCACGGCACCAGGCCGGACAGTTGGTCGGGAAGAGCGCTGCCCCAGGCCCGGGGGACTGGAGGCTCGGAATGCTGAGGCTCCCCTCTTCTGCGGAGCACCCGCCCACGAAGGCTGAGCTGGCCGGCAGAGGGGACGCGCGGCGGGAGTGCCGTGTCCTGGAATCTTCCGGGGCTTGCTTCTGCCTGGGGTTCGGGACCCGCGCACCTCTCCTCCAGGATTGTGGCTAATTAGCATTTCCTTCCATCCCTAAGTTTTGCACCCGAAGCATCTGGGTCTGGTTTTGCGCAAGTTGTCTTCTGACAACTTGGCACGGGGCTTAGAGGTAAGGCCCAAAGAATCAGCAGGGTCTCCGGAAGTTCCCCAAGGTATCAAATACGCAGATACACAGACCTAAGAGCCCCTTTAGTCTCTGCCAAGATTACATCAGAAATCAAGAAAGCAGAGGCCCGGACATGAGCATCCTGGTGGGGCTAAAAACAAAAAAGAAATCAAGGAGGGCCATCCATGTTGTTATTAGCAACACGACAGATGCTGGGCGGGAATGAGGAAACAGACAAATTCCAGGAAACCCGGGTTCCAACATCATGCCTAACCACGTCCACTTCCCGGGCTGTCCCGCCGCACACTTGTCGGTAGCCGGCCGGCAGCAGGCAATTTCCCACCTGGTTTCCCAGACCCGGGATCGCCCCGCCCCTTTCACACCTTGGCTTTAAGCCCCGCCCACCTCCGGACCGGAAATGAAGTGAGCAGTGCCTCGCCGGGGTCTCCTGCACTGGGCGCGGCTTGGATTACCAAAGTGCGCAGGCGCGGAAGCCACGCGGGACTTGGCCCTCCATCTACTTCCGGGTCCCCGTCGCCTTCCTCCGGACGCGGGTCTCCGCCGTGGCTGGCAGGTGAGGATCCTGGCCCTCCATCTACTTCCGGGTCCCCGTCGCCTTCCTCCGGACGCGGGTCTCCGCCGTGGCTGGCAGGTGAGGAGCCGGGCCGGCGGTGCGAGGGGTCGGGCCGCGCCGAGCGGCCGCCGTGCCCCGGGCGCTCCGGCGGCCTCCGGCCCGCGGCGTGGCCCGCGCGCTGCGCCTCCGCGGAAGCCGGCCTCCGGTCCCGGGCGTCCCCCAGCCGCCCGGGCGCCCAGGCCTCCGCGCCCCGCTGCCTCCCGCAGGACTGGCTGTGGGCCGGGGGTCGGCCGGCGGCTGTCGCCCAGCTGTTGCCCGCAGCGCGCCTCTCCCCGGACCTGGGTCGGGGCTGCCCGCGGGGAACGAGGCAGCCTGCGCGGGGAGGGGGGCTCGTGAGGCGCGTGCAGGGGTCCCAAAGCGTGGGCCGCGTCCGCTGCGGGGAGGCAGAGGCCAGGAGCTCCCTGGAGCCCCTTCTCAAATAAACAGCAACGGAAGAAAACAAGTCCTGTTTAAACACAAAAAGCTTGGCCAACGTGAAAAAGTAAAAAGTGTGGACCAGGACGTGAAGATTCTGGAGCTATTTGGTAGGAAGGTAAACTATTCCCCCTGCTATGAGAAAGTTTGGGAGTGCTCTAAAGAAATACAGAGTTACCATATGACCTAGTAATTCCACCTTTGGGTGCATATTAAAGAGAACGGGGCCAGGTGACTGAGATCCAGAAGATCTCGAGACCTCAAGGCCTGCCTTGGCAGAGAAACCCACAGACTTCATCTCCAGGATAACTAGCAAAAGGTAGGGCTGGAGGAATGGTTCATTGTAGAGCACTAGTCCAGCCAGGCTAATGTGGCATTCAAAGCCCAGTACCACATAGGCACACACCCAAAAAAATTGAAGCAGGATCACAGTGAGCTTATTCACACACCCATGTTCAGTTGCTCATTAACAGACAAAATGCTAGCCAGATGCTGGTAGCTCACATCTGTAATCCTAGCTACTCGGGAGGCTCAGATCTGAGGATTGTAGGCCAAAGCTAGCCAGGACAGAAAAGTGTATGAAACGCCAATTAACCAGCAAAAAGCCAGAAGCGGAGATGTGGTGCAAGTGGTAGAGCGTAAAAGCTCAGGAACAGCACCTAGGCCCTGAGTTCAGCCCCAGGACCAACACGTAAATAAATAAATTGCTGCATACATGAAACAATGTTCACCCATAAAAGGAAATTTTTACACATGCTACAACATGAGTGAACTTTGTGGAACTTGTACTGAGCAAAATATATCCGTTACAGGAAGGCATTGAATAATCCCCCTACATCAGATCTAGTCACATTCTTGCAGATGAGAAGTAGGATGGTAATAGCCCAGCAACAGGTATAAAGGGAGTAATTTAATGGGCCTGGAGATTGGTTGCACAGCAACTGATACACTTAACATTGACGCTGAAAATTGTTGATAAGTTTTAAGTGTATTTTACCACAAGAACATAAAAAGTAATCTGGGCACAGATAGTTCACCCCTATCTATAATCCTAGCTATTCAGAAGGATGAGACCTGAGGGTCGAGGTTCAAAACCAGCATGAGCAGGAAAATCCATGAGACTCTTATCTCTAGTTAACTACCAAAACAGCCAGAAGTGGAGCAGTGCCTCAAGTGGTGTGGCACTAACCTTAAGCAAATAAAGCTCAGAGACAGACCCAAGCCTAAGTTCAAGTCCCAGAACCAACACAAACTAATTAAAAAAAAGAGAAAGAAAATTTTTAAATTTTGAATCATGTGATTCTATAGGCCAATAAACATTTCTGCAATTGAAAACAAAAGTAGTTGGGCTTGGTGTTGTATGCCTGTAAGCACAGCACTTGAGAGTCTCAAATTTGAGGCTATGTTACAAGACTACCTTTTTTTTTTTTAATGTAGCTTAATATTGGCAGGAACAGATGATAATATGGTTGATTTGTTACTGTATTTGCTCAGGAACCATGGAGAATGCTGACCAGAAGGTCAGAGAGGACTCTCCTCAGGCCCAGGTGGCAGTTCAAAGTGGCCCGCAGCAGGTGCCCCAGGAGGAACCAGGGCAGCTTCTGTATCACGAGGAGACCATTGACCTCGGTGGAGATGAGTTTGGATCTGAGAATGAGACCGTATCAGAAGGTTCCAACAACTTTGTAGACAAGCTTAACGAGCAGATGATGGAGAGCGTCCTCATTTCTGACTCTCCTAATAACAGCGAAGGTGATGCAGGTGACCTTGGCTGTTTGCAGGATGTTGCGGAACCTGTAGAAGGCAGCACTGATCATAGACTGGCCAGCATTACAGAGAAAGAAGAAATGGACCTTCTGAATAGCACCAGTGGAGCTGATGACGGCCATACGGCTCAGGACAAATCCGACATGACCCCTGATACCAGAGCTTCTTTGAAAGAAGATTCCACACAGGAAGAGGTGAAAGACATCCCCACATTTGGGGATGCTAGCACAGGAGATCTGCTACCCAGGGATGAGAACTCTCAGCCCGAAGAACAGGTTTCAGAAGTATCTTCCAGTCAGTCCTCTTCTAAAGATGACCCTGTGCCTATGTGTACCATTTTCAGCCAGGGGAATTCAACTCCTTCCCAGCAGCACCTGTTTCTGCAAGATGGCTTTGAGTCTCAAATGGTGAAATCGCCAAGCTTCAGCAGCGCCAGTGAGGCCTCGGCCAAGACCCCCCCCCAGACGGTCCAGCCCAGCCCCAGCCTGAGTCAGTTTTTTGGTGATACGATGAACACTAACTCCCTGGCCTCAGACTTCTTTGACTCTTTCACCACTTCCACTTTCATTTCTGTCAGTAATCCCAATGCCGGCTCTTCAGCTCCAGACACCTTATCTTCACTCTCTGCCCCTGAGGGAGAAAACTCACCTGACTCTGCCGACCCGTCTTACTCTACAGGGTTGGAAAGATCCGAATCAGGTGTTTCTACGTCTTCTTTGGAAATCCCTGAGTCTCCAAAACCATTCGCACAGATGCAGGCCGTGTTCGCAGGGAGCGATGACCCCTTTGCCACAGCCCTGAGCATGAGTGAGATGGACCGAAGGAACGATGCATGGCTTCCCTGCCAGGGAACCAGAGATGTCCTGGTCTCAGTGGCAACCCAGCAGTACAACACTGTGTTCATAGACAAGGAGAACCTCACCATGCCAGGCCTCAAGTTTGACAACATTCAGGTAGGATGGAGAGCATCTCTGCCCTGTTAATCAGTTTCTGTCTGATGCATGCAGTGCCTTTCCAAGGATGGCAACTCCTAACTAGATTACAGTTCCTAAGATTCTGATTGCTCTGAGAGTCTACATTATTTAGTCTGAAGGTTATTAGGATCTCCATTGCCCTTCCCAATGTTGTAATGTATTTAAGCTGCTACTCAAGAGTCATAGAAATATCTACTAGCAACATGATAATTATAACTCTGAAGTAACTCTACTCTTTGTAGGATAATTCATTTCTGATGATCTTTTTGTTTTGTTTGTAGTACTAGGGTTTGAACTTTTCAGGCAGGTGTTATGCGTTTAACCTCCACTACCCCACCTTTTTGGATTGGTTATTTTTAAGATAGGGTCTAGCTTTATGCTCAGGCTAGCCCGGGCCGCCTTCTCCCATGTGTGCTTTCCTGCTTCACTAGGATGACCGGTACCTCCTGGGGCTTCCAGTCATTCTGCTTCCTCCGTAGGCAGAGCGATAGATGCATGGTGCATGCCACAGTGTCTAGCCATGGATCAAGACAGAGCTTCACTAACTTCTTTTTGCCCGTATTAGCCTCAGAGCATCTCTTAAATAGCCAAGATTAAAAGATTACAGACTTGAGCCAGCATCCCTAGTTTAATTCATCAGTCTGGGCCAAACCTTGATCTGGTTGATGATTACCCCCAGTTCTGGTTCTGCAAGGTGTCTTCAGAGACGCGTCTCATGGTGGGGGGGGGGGGTTGTCTGCAAGGCTAGAGGTCAGTGTTCCTGGAATTCAAAGTTACTGCAGGCCACTGGACTGGAGTGGGAAAGGGGACAAGACAGTTGTGAAAGCTAAGAGAAAAAAAAAGCTAGCCAGGCACCAGTGGCTCACACCTGTCATCCCAGCTACTCAGGAGGCTGAGATCTGAGGATCGCACTTCAAAGCCAGCCTGGGCAGAAAAGGCCAGGAAACTCTTTATCTCCAATAAGCCACCAGAAAACCTGAAGTGGTGCTGTGATTCAACTGGTAGAGTGCAATCCTTGAGCTGAAGAGCTGAGGGACAGTGCTCAGGCCCAGAGTTCCAGCCCCAGGACCAACAAAAACCAAAACCAAAACTAAGTACAATGTTTCAGTTACTCCTACTTGAGGTCTTCAGTCTTGAAAGATCAAAAGACCAGATAGGTTAAGTACAAGGCTAATAAACCTTTATCACCAATTTTAGGGCAGACACTCCTTAAATATTAACCTGCTTAAGTGTAGAGCTAAGCTGGTAACCAGCCCACAGACTTAAGAGATAAGGACACGTGTACAAAATGAAAGCAGAGCTAGCAAACTTTATGGTGATTTTTGTTGCCCATCAAGCATATGTAAGCCCAAAAGCTGCACCTAAGTCATTAATATTATATGCCAGTGTTGGTGTATTGCCCCAGATTGCAGGTAGGATTGGTTTCCTGTGGCAGGGTGCATGGGCATACTACACTTAAACTTCTCTTCCTTCCATTTTGGGAAGATGGACCTGAAAGTGTCACCAGGTCCAGGAGGGGATTTGTAACATTTCCCTCTAAAATTGGGACTTTTCACTAAGGATCCTTGACTTTGATCGAAGAATAAGAATTTCTGGACAAATCATAATGGTAAGAAAACCTGGCAGAGCTTTATTGAGTAAGTGAACAAGCAAAAAACAGAAAGGCAGAGGCACACTCTTAACTGTGGACCCTCTGTAAGGGAGAGACACTTCGACATCAAAGGCAGTGTCAGACTTTAAGTTATACAAAGTTAGGTGCTTATCTTTGTCCTTAATCCTTCTTGCTGTTACACTTTTGTTACTTGAGTTCAGGGTCTTAAGACTGACCTATACTTTAAATGTTTGACCCTTATATTTGGTATCCCAAACATAAAAACTTGTGTTTATCCTTGGTTTTGCTCTAGGGGCTGTGTCACGGGCCTCTGCAGTAAGGACTCTGCTCTAGGGGCCATACCACGGGCCTCTGCCTCTAGCCTGGTGGCAGGTCTGGAAACCTGACAGGCAAACTGAGGCCACGTTTCTGCTCCTGTCTTGTCCAGTTCTCCTCCTCCTTCCCTCACTCTTCCCCTAGTTTGGCTTTTGCAGGATTTCCATCCGGAAAGCCAACATTATCTGTTTAAACCCTAAGTCCTCAAATCAGAAACCCCCAAATCTACATAAAGCCAACATGGCATTGTCACAGCGAGCTTAAAGCTTCCAATGATGCTCCGAGGTAGAGTGCCTACCTAGCATGCAGAAGATCCTGAGTCTGACCCCTAGCACCAGAAAAAAAAAACAATTAGACTTCTACCACTGACCATCACAGGCACACTGGCATCCAACTTTTCCGTCCATCAACAACTCTAGGCCTAACAAGATCTGTGTGGCCTTGTCTGCTCTCAGACGCAGAGAGGCGCTGAGTGCCCCACCTTTCTCATAGCATAATCTCACCAACACAAGAAAACAAGAAGGCTACGTGGAGACCCCTGAAGTGAGGAAATGGGTCCAGTGGCCTTTTGGGTGTCAGCAGGAGGAGGCTTTGTTAGAGCCTTTTCAGAAGAAACTCTACAGAGACTCAGTGCTGGAAAGCTGACCTTAAAACACTGAAGGTTTTGTGATCTCCCTTGGCTTTTTGCTTCAAGGTTGATACTTGAGCCACACCTCCACTTCTAATTTTTGTTTTGTTTTGTTTTTGGTTGTGGGTCTTGAACTCTGGGCCTGGGTGCTGTCCCTCAGCTCTTCAGCTCAAGGCAAGCACTCTACCACTTGAGCCACTGTGCCGCTTCCAGTTTTATGAGTGGTTTATTGGAGATAAGAGTTTCATGGACTTTCCCTGCCTGGGCTGGCTTTGAACCTCGATCCTCAGATATCAGCCTCCTGAGTAGCTAGGATTACAGGCATGAGTCTCCAGTGCCCGACTCCACTTCTGAATTTTTAATGGTTAATAAAGGTCTCTGGGATTTTTCTGCCCAGGCTGGCTTCAAAGCAAGATTCTCAGATCTCAGCCTCCTGAGTAGCTAGAATTATAGATGAAAGCCACTGTCCAGCTGACCTTAATTTTATAGAAAACAAATGAAAAGACAAGAACTGAAGATGAACGCAGAATTCCTGGGATTAAATCTTACGATTCTAATTACTCTAGAGGCCAAATTGAAAGGATCAAACGTTGGAGGCCAGACTTGCAAAAGGAGCGGCTCAGAAACAAAAATGTGCTGCAGTTGTAGAAAGAGCTCTGGGTTCAATCCCTAGTACTACCAGAAAATGGGGGTGGTGGGGGAGTGCATTATAGCCTTCTTTAAATTATGGAAGAGTTCATGCTGGAGAAAAAGCCTGTGAACATATGTTGGGTCTTCGTCCGTCCCACGAAAGACGGACGGGGTCCGAGGAAAGGTAAGTGAGGCGCTGACCCGTTCCCTAGCCTCCCTCAGCCCAGGAGACAATCAGACACAGCGGGGAGCCAAATCCAGCAGGTAGAAAAACTCGTTTATTAACAGAGAGCAGCCCCTTTTAAAGACAACAAGGGTGGGTGGTATGGTAAGGGAGGAAGAGGAACCAATCACTGTCAAGGTCACACCCTATCATTCACCTGAGCCTTCACAGGCTGGTTAGGCACTGATCAGAAGATCAATTGGGGTCTGCCCACTCAACCCCCTCCCAGAGCCATCTTGGCTGGCCATGTGCTCTACAGTAAATTAGGCTCTGCCCACTCAACCCCCTCCCAGCGCCATCTTTGCTGCCCATGTGCTCCACAAACATACATAGACTTAAGGTGATCCAATCCCATTTGAAGATAGGAAGAGATTCATTCTAAGGGAAAACCCTATGACTAAATGGAATGCGGTGCTTTCACATCCAAAGACATGCAAGCTGCAGCTAGACCTTATAACTGCGAGTGTAGACTCTGGGTTGAAACCGTAGTGGTTTCAGAACTTGTAGAGGTTTTTATTTCAACAAGGGCATTAAAAGTCATGACAATTCCATTGGAAAGGAATCTTACTGAGGTCCTGATGCAAAATAATGATTATGTAATATTCAAAATTATATAATATGAATGAAAGGCAATGGAAGTGGTAGCTAAATTGCGTTTATCTGTGGCTCATATTTAAAGAGGATTCTTAAATTACCAGTTTCCATTTCCTTTACAAGGACACACTGAGGTGAGAATTCTGGGTATAGTCTTGTTCCTTAATAAGAGATGTGTAAGCCATGCCCCCAACCCTTTTGATGTAGTGGGGGTTTTTTTGGTTTGTTTTTTTAGGTAAGGTGTTGGGTTTTGTTTGCTTGCTTTGCCCAGGCTTGTCTGGAATGCAGTCTCCCTACTTGTGCCTGGACTGACTGGCGTGCTGCTCTCTGGCCTGGCCAGCCTCTACATAGAGGTGGTTGGTTACTCACTCACCTCTCACCTGGCTACCGTGATGCCCCTCATCTCCACCTCTTGATTACCTGGGATTATAGGTGTGAGCCAGTGTTCTGGCCTCAGTTTTAAATGAAAAGAGATGGGAGAAAAGAAGGCTGGTGGGGAGGGGAAATGGGAAGAAGGAAGGAGAAGGGAAAGGGAGGGAGAGGTGTCCAGTTTCTCCTTTAGTGACAAGGAACTTGAGACCAGAGTGGGTTGAGCAAGTCCCAGGGAAGCTGTGTGTCCCAGGCATCACTCCCCTCGTGAAAGCGAGGCCATGAGTGCACGCTGCCAGCATGAACCAGGGAGAGCAGCCTGGCCGTGCTCACTCTCCTGTGCTGTGGTTCAGCACAGGTCAGATCCCCACCAACAGCAGGAACAGGACTCAGGGCCCTTGTCTTATATATCTAGCTTCCACGTAGAGAACAGTGTTTCTCTCAGGAAGGTCTGTATCTGAGCTGAAGAAGCCACCAGTCGCCAAGAGATGCTAGGATAACTAAAGACAAGTGATAATGAGTGTGGGTGGGATTGTAAATTAGTAAGCCAGTGTGGAACACTTGGAGAGGCTCTTTCAAAACTTAAAAGTAGAGTTACCATAGGACCCGGCAACTCTGCCTTGGTATGGGTCCAGAGGAGGTGAAGTCGGTGTCTCGGGTGAGCTGCACTCCTGAGTTCTTCACAGCACTGCCCATGAAAGCCAAGGTATAGAACCAACCTGAGGTCCATCGCTGAAGAAATGCATGAGGAAAATGGGATATATTCACAAAATGAACTGTTAGTCAACATAAAAAGGAAGGAGAGGCTGGGAACGCAGTTCAGTGTTAGAGTGCTTGCCTAGCATGCATGAAGCCCTGGGTTCAATTCCTCAGTACCACATAAGCTGAAAAAGCCAGAAGTGGTGCTGTGGCTCAAGTGGTAGAGCGCTAGCCTTGAGCAAAAGAAGCTCAGGGACAGTGCCCAGGCCCTGAGTTCAAGCCCCAGAACTCAAATAATAAAATAATAAAAAATGAAAATAAAAAGGAAGGAAACGGTATCATTCTTGACAACATGGATGGCCCTGGAGGATGCAGTGCTACATGCACTAACCCAGATGCAGAAGGGCAGGTGCCACAGGCTTGCTCACCTGGGGGGTCTTCATAAACACAGCTGTGTTGAGCACAGTGCAGTGGTAGTTCCCAAGGACCGAGATGCTGGTCACTGCGGTTGGTGACCAGCGTTTTCATCCCCTCCTCGGTTTAGATGGTGGGATTCCGTCCTTTGATTGTGACAGGACACAGGATGCACATGTTGAAGGATATTGTATTCCTCAAATATATACAACGTTTATGCGTCAAATACTTTTTTAAAGATAAAATCTTCTCTATCCAATGACATCTTTTAAAAAGAGAACTAGAAAGCAAATGATTTTGGTGAAGAATGAGTACTAAAAGTCTTTTGTACTTTTTCCAGGGTCCCAGAAACTTTCTCATACATAGACATTCCTCCAGTCAATGTAGGAACATAGAAAGTACCTTGAAATGGAAGAACTGGTCACAGATAACTTGCTTTGCCAATAACCTATGTGACCTATGGAAGTGCATTGAACACGTGGCAGGGTGGTCTCATCTGAATGGTGAAAGGTTTTGATGCCTCTGCCATGGGCTGAGCTGACTGTCAGGAAAACCCAGGGTCCAGTGACTAAGGGTAGGTAGGTATTTGCAGTCGTAGAAAGGTCAGCATTATGGGAGCCAGGCTGTGGAGTAGCTCCACCACCTCCGCGGGGCCAGGAGGACAGGTGGGCACAGCAGGACCCGTCAGGTGAGTGGCCTGGGGGACAGAGTGTGTCCACTCACAACCCTTTGCACACATTGTGGCCTCTTGGCCACACCAAGCTGCCAGCAGGGCTGCACGTGTGTGTCGTATTCCTGAGACCTGCTTGTTTTTGTTTTTTTTGTTTTCTGTGCCAGTACTGAGACTTAAACTCGGAGTGTGGGTGCTGTACTTAGTTTCTTCCTCAAGGCCAGCACTCTCCTATTTGAGCCAAACCCCCTCTTACAACTTTTAAGTGGCTAGTTGAAGATAGGAGTCTCATGGACTCAGAGTGTCTGGTTCTGGCTTTGAATTTGGCTGATGCTCAGACCTCAGCCTCTGAGTAGCTAGGATTACAGGTGTGAGCCGTGGCGTCCGGCTGCCTTCTCCCTTTATGGTAATCATCGCTCCCGGTCACTTCGCTGGCTCTGATACTTCAAATGGTCCACGTTACTCTCTGAAAGCAGGAATTATAAAATTGCTGCTTCTGTCTAGCTCTTTGCCCCAGTGGAGGGAGATGCAAGTATGTCATCTTTTTTTTTTATTTATTTATTTTTTGTCGGTCATGGGGCCTGAACTCTGGGTCTGGGCGCTGTCCCTCAGCTCCTCAGCTCAAGGTTAGCGCTCTACCACTTGAACCACAACGCCACTTCCAGTTTTTTCTGCTTATGTGGTGCTGAGGAATTGAACCCAGGGCCTCAGGCATGCAAGGCAAGCACTCTGCCACTGAGCCACCTTCCCAGCCCCCATCTTTTTTTTTTTAAATAAGTTTTTTATTGTGAAAATACTGTACAGAGGGGTTACAGTTACATGAGCAAGGTAATGAGTACATTTCCTATCAAGCATTGTTGCCTCCTCCTTTGTTTTTTCCCCTACCCTCCCTTCCCTCCCACCTCCTCAATTACACTCCCTCCCTCCCCCAAAGTCTCAGCATCTTTAAACACCAGGCTGAGCACTGGAAAGGAGAAGCAGTCCGGAGCTGGAACCAGCATGGCCCTTGTGCCACGGCTGTCATCTGCTGGGCCACAGAACTGGAGGCAGGCATTGACAGCTTCCGCAGTGGTGTTTTTTATTTATTGCTTACATAGCCTAGATGTAGCTTTTTTTTTTTAAGTTTTTTTCCATTTTTGAAAGTAACAGTAGATTGAAATAATCTTGTTTCTGAGAGAACGGTAGGCAAGAAATGAAAGGGGTGGGGACATCCTGATGGATCTTCTCCAGCCGCACACGTCAGCTGCTCCAAAGACTTTCCTGAGGCGGGTCTGAGAGTCTTCAAGGACCGGGCAGAGCTGTGCTCCAGCCTCTGCTGGGCACTCTCCCCCCAGGGACCACAGCTCCTCATCCTCACCCTGCAGGACTCCCAGCCCTCAGAACCCTCTCCAGTGGCAGTGTCTCCCACTCGCTGGTAATCTGTGCTCTTCCTCCTTGGGACAAAGAGCAGTTCTAAAATATATACATTTATTAACAACTCAGCTCTGGCTCGTTGGTGTTTTCCTGTACTAGATCCCCCACTCTCTCCTCGCCCCTGAACTGAAAGGGACCTGAGTTATGGGTGCTGCTAGCTGAGTTTCATGAACATTGTGTTGTCCTGACATACTTCCTTTACATTCCCCCAGGGAGATGCAGTTAAAGACCTGATGCTTCGCTTCCTGGGCGAGAAGGCAGCAGCCAGGAGGCAGGTCCTGAACGCCGGCTCGGTAGAGCAGTCTTTCGTGGGCCTCAAGCAGCTAATTGTAAGTAACAGGGAACCTGGCTTCTAGCCTACCTTTGTAATGACTGAATGCATCAACAGAACTCTTGAACATAGCTAAAATGCACAGGATTACATGCCAGTCCTGTTCTGCAGAAAGTATTGTGTAAACACACTGATCATCTTAAATCCAATGAACTAAAAAGCCACTACTTTAAATGATCATATGTCTACGCGTGTACTAAGATCCAGCTTGCTCCATCAAATACAACAAATACAGATGAACTGGGTGGGAGGGGGAGTTACTTGTCTCCACATATTTCCCTGGTCTCAAACTTAAGACTCAAGAGTTCTTCCCACCTCCACCCCCCAAGTAGCTGGGACTTTAGACATCCACTACTTTTCCAGTTTTATATTATAGAAAATGCCTGGAGCTGGGATGGTGGTTTAGTAGTAGAGTGCTTGCCTTGCATGCATGAGGCCCTGGGTTGGATTCCTCAGCACCACATAAGCAGAAAAGGCCAGATGTGATGCTGTGGCTCAAGTGGTAGAGCACTAGCCTTGAGCTGAAGAGCTGAGGGACAGCGCCCAGACCCAGAGTTCAAGCCCCACGACCAGCCAAAAAAAAAAGAAAAAGAAGATGCCTTACATTATGATTCTGCTACTTGAGCCTCCAGTGCAGCAGGGGCTTTTTGTTTTTGTTTTGGGGGCTTCAGGGGTTTGTTGTAGAGGGGGCTCATTAATTGGAAGTTAACATCTCAGACTTTTCTGGAAAGGCTGTTTTTGAAGCACAGTCTCAGCCTCCTGAGAAGCCAAGATTACAGGTATGAGCCACGGCACCTGGTTTAGGAAAGAGCTCTGGATATGTCAGTGTTGTACCGCGTAATTGTGGGGGATCATCATCATAGCCTGCCACCTCGTGACTCCGTGAGCCTTCTGTGGAGAAAAGTCCAGGTCTGCCATTAGTTACTGGGGTGATCTTGGTTGCTTTTTCTAAGTTGTAGGAAGGACATTTATTTAAATGTAGAGACTTTTCTTACCAAACTGTCGTGAGAACCCTACATGTCCTGCACAATAATAAGGTCTTTCTAAGATTTCTTCCACAGAACTTGAAGTATCATATGGCATCCTTTAATCCTTATTTTAAAAATAATTCCATCACTGAACTTTTCTGACATCCAACACTGAAAATAGAAGAAGAACAAGGAGGTGGGAAATGGAGACAAAAATAGCAAAACACATACTGAGAAAATAAGTAACTGTAATTTCAAACCACAGGCAACATGGGATTCAAAGAAGTTGCTTAGCTCTCACAGGTGCCTAGATTATGTCTGTGGGGGGAGGAGATGTCATCCTAACCCCTGCCTGGCTTTGGTCTTCTGCCCAACCTCCCTGGAGCGGCTGCCCACAGGCAGACACCGTGCGCTGGGCCAGCATCCTCTCCTCTCTGGCTGTGCTTGGTGGTAACAAGCCCCACCACAGGAGTGAAATGACCACTGTCCTGTGCTGAGAAGAGTCAGAAAAGAGGAAAGTTGAAGCAGGTCCTGCTCACCTGTCCAGCAGCAAAATGAAGGCAGTGGTGGCCATCGTCACTTAATCCTCTCATACCTGTCGGGTTGAGAACAAACGGCAGCTAGGCCGCAGCACACCAAAGCTAGTAAACGAGAAGCAGTGCAGGCAGACACCTGTGTGAGTCAGAATGAGAATTGTGGGTTTGAACGCAGAACCAGTGGCTCCCAATCATTTCATCCTAGCTACTCAGGAAGTTGCGACCTGGGAGGTCACAGTGCTAAGCCAGAATAGGTATGTGCGTGCACACACACACACATACACACACAAACACACAGAATTTGAGAGACTGCTTCTTCAGTGAACCAGCAAAATGTCAGAATAGAGGCATAACTCAAGTCGTAGAGTGACATAAGCAGGCATGCTGAGCGAGAGCAAAGAACTTCAAGTTCAATCCCTTGGTGTTAAAACCACATAGTTACATAGAACAATTTTAGAATCAGAATGGTAGCACATAATTGTAAATCAAACTTCTAGAAGGACAGGCAGGATTATAAGTTTGAAGCCATCCTGGGCTATATAAAGATAGACACTGTCTCAGAAACCAGAAGAAAAAATATCTGGAGATACAGCTTAGGTTGAAGCACTTTACATCATGCCTAAGACCCTGAGTTTCAATCCCTGCGCTACAAAAAAAAAAGAGAAAGGGGGCTGGGAAGGTGGCTCAGTGGGAGAGCGCTTGCCTTGCATGCATGAGTCCCTGGGTTCAATTCCCCAGCACCACATAAATTTAAAAAAAGAGAGAGAAAAAATAATAAAACAATCTCTTAAAAAAAAAAAGAGAGAGAGAGAGAGAGAAAGGTTGGGAGAGAGAGGAGCCAGAGAGAAGGGATACGGGTTATTACAACAAGAATGAACTAGCCAAACAGTGGTACTACTTCCTTGGATAATTCAGTGGGAAAATTATCTCAAAATCAATTTCTTTTCATTTTATCAAATAGCATTGACTTAATGACTGAGGATAGAGGAGTATTTCTTAAACAGGGTACAGAAAACTAGGCCTCAGGGTTGCAGCATAGCTCAGGCAGGAAACATGCATAGCATGGGCGAGGGCATACATTTAATCCTCAAACGTGCATGTTTAAAATTTTTTAAACATGTTTTAAGCTGTGTGCTGGTGGCTCACAGCTGTACTCCTAGTTAATCAGGAGGCTGAGATCTGAGGATTGTGGTTTGAAGCCAGTCCAGTCAGTGCAGGAAAGTCTGTAAGACTCATCTCTGACTAACCACCAAAAAACCAGAGGTGGAGTTGTGACTCAAGTAGTCAAGAGCCAACCTTGAGCAGCAAACTCAGGGACAGCTATGCATTCAAGCCCAAGACCAAAAAGACATAAATAGGCAGTGCATGGAGACCAGACAGCCAGTAAATAAGGAGCAAATGCTCAGACTCACCAGGGATCTCAGGCATTTCATACCCCCAACCCATGAGAAGAAGTGAATGTTCTATCCCGACCTCTGGGATCATAAGGGCTCCCCCCAACACCACCATCACACCAGACATGGTGAGGATTTCATACTTTTAATTAGGGATTGTGAGGGTTTCATACCTCCCAACCTACTAGGGATCGTGAAGGTTTCACACCTCCCCGCTGGTAGGGATCGTGAGGGTTTTGTATCTCCATACTGTGTGCATTGTTGGTGAGAAGGTAAATTGACATAGCTTCTTTGCAGACAATTTAACATCAGGTAATGAAATGAATCTTTTGTATAACTTTGATACGACAATCCCATTTGTAACTATATACTTAAAAAAGAAACACCCATCTGTATAAAACGTGCTTAAAAAATGTTTATTGCATATTCTACTAGACAAAGGCTTTATTAAACTGTAATAACCAACAACAACAAAAGAAGATTATGTTATATACACTCAGTCAAGTACTTTGGGGTGATTGAAATAAATGAATGACAGCCACATTCATCAATATTGATAAATTTCAAATATAATAGTGAGTAAAAAAAGCAAATTACACAAGGCTGCTTCCAGTGTGGCAGCTTTTACAGATGTTTGAAACCATCTGGAGAATACCTTCACCATGATTCCAAAGTCCAGGAAGACTCTTAACGACTAAAAGTGGTTTCTGTCATCAGAGTCTGACCTGAGCAGTTCCTCTGGCACCTGTCCAGATTACCCACATACTTGTCCCATGCCCACCTCTCATCTGCAGTGTGGCCCCGAGGATCGCTGTCCCTTGCTGGCTGTTGCCTTACAAAGACCCCTCTTTCATAGGCATCTTTGGGAACTCCGTGACAGGGCAGTGTCCCACGTACTGCCTGTCCCAGAGGATCTGCTGGCAGACCCCCCCCCCCCACCCCCCCCCCCCACCCTGTTGATAGGAAGAACTTCTTTGCACCAGAAATGTCTTCAGAATGCAGAGCACACTTGACCTGTCAACCAAATGTGTATTTTGTATTCTCCTTAAGGAAATACATTATTTGGGGAAGTATAAATCCAGAATAATACTGCCGTAATACTTGGATGTATGTATACTACATTGATCACATCTGCGTTCTTTTAATTGTGACATTAGGAAAATCACCCCACCTGTTGGCTGTCCTACCAGCTGATGCTCAACCCAGATATTCATCCAAATCTAACCTCCAGATAGGTGATACAGGCTTAGTCATCTTGGTCCTAAACTCCAGTTCCAGGTCCAAGTCTGATCCTTTACATCCTGCAGCCTTGCTGCCCCGAGGTCTCCCTAGAAATGAGGGGACCAGGCTACGGATGCCTGATGCAGGCTGTCTTTGTTATCACTTGCCACAAGAATTGGGTCAACTTCTAGAAAAGTGCTTCTTGGGCTGGGAAGGTGGCGCAGTGGTAGAGCGCTTGCCCCACATGCATGAGGCCCTGGGTTCAATTTCTCAGCACCACATAAACAGAAAAAATAAAGCTGGAAGTAGCTCTATGGCTTAAGTGGTAGAGCGCTAGCCTTGAGCTCAAGAGCTGAGAGACAGCGCCCATCCCAGAGTTCAAGCCCCATGACAGAAAAAAAAAAAGCTTCTTGGGTTAGTATAAATTGGTTCAGATCTTACTGCAATGCTATTTATAGGCTAAAATTCATCAGAAGATTGCCTAGCCAAATAGTGCACTTAGTCAATAGCAGCAATTATCTACATAGATCTTTTATATCAGGTATCCAGGGAACATTACATTGGAAGAGCCTCATAGGAGCATAAACATTTTCTCTTCATCTATGAAAAAAGCCATTTTTAAGAGAATTTACATTTACTTACTAAATAAGAGGATACAGTTTTGATTCATTGTTAGTAGTGTACTACTTTGAGATTGAAAAACACAGTATATGAAATCATAGCAGGGCTGTAGGCTTTTATATGAGTTATTTTGTCTATTTAATTGTGGAGCACGTCGTATTTGCAGAAAGTCGCCGCAAATAATTTTGTTACATATTCAAGTGTTTTATTGGTGGTATGTTCCTGTACACGGGGAATATAATGAGCCGGGACCTTTAT